TTTGGTCCCTGCTGGTTCTTGTCTAAAAGGCACAGAGTATTCTTGTCAATGCCTAGCACACTATGCTCCCACTGCAGAGCCTTTTAGTGTAGCAATTTGTAACACTCACTGTATTTCCCCCTCAGTGCTAGTCAGTTTTCTGTCACCTTACACCTGAGAAAATCAACTTATAAAGAGAAAAAGGTTCACTTTGGCCCATAGTTTTGTAGATTTCAGTTCATGATCAACAGGCACCATTGCTACTGAGCCTGTGACAGTATCGGGGCAGAAGCACATGGGTGCTGTGGTGGTTTGAAAGAAAACAGCCCCCAAAGGGAGTGGCACTATTAAGAGGTGTGGCTTTGTTGGGGTGGGTGTGGCCTTGTTGGGGGAAGTGTGTCACTGTGGAGGCTGACTTTGAGGCCTCATATGTTCAAGCCATGCTCAGTGTGACACTCAGTCTACTTCCTGTTGCCCGCATATCAATATGTAGCAGCTCCTTCTCCAGCACCATGTCTGTCTGTGTGCCACCATGTCCCACCATGATGATTATGGACTGAATCTCTGAATTGTAAGCAAGCCACCCAATTAAATGTTTTCCTTTGTAAGAGTTGCCATAGTCATGGTGTCTCATCACAGCAATAAACACCCTAACTACGACAGGGACAATAAGCAATAAACGACTTGTTTCATGTCCTGGAAGTAAAAGAATGACAGGAAGAGACTGAGATCCTACAAATTACTTTGAGGACATACCCTTAATGATCTGGAGACCTCGTCCTTGGCCAGTGGTTCTCAACCTTCCTAATGATATGACCCTTTAATACAATTCCTTGAATTGTGGTGACCCCATCAATAAGATTATTTTTATTGCTTTGCTATTGTTATGAATCATAATGTAAATATCTGTGTTTTCTGATGGGCTTAGGTGACTCCTGTGAAAGAGTCATTTGACCCCAAAGGGGTTGCACCCCACATGTTGAGAACCACTGTTCTAGGCCCTACCTTTTAAAGTTTCCATCACCTGCTAGTTGCACCGAGCTGAGGAGCAAGTCTTTAGCACATAGGCCTTTGAGGATATTCCAGATCTGAACTATAGCACACAGCAAGCCTGAAAGCATTCATAGGTCAGAAATACTGTCCACTTCACCTTTGCAGCATTCATGTGCTATGCTCAGGGAAGGGTCACTGATTCCAATGATTGTAAGACAAAGTGCTTATATGCAAAGTAAGGTGGGCCTGGAGCTGGGACATCCAAGTGTCTTGACCTGACTCTGTTCCCTGAAGCCTCCTTACTTCCTGCAAGTCACTCAGATTCCTACAGTAGTAAGTAGATAATAATGAGTCTATTTTACATAAAAAGCTGGTAGGAGGATGAAATAGTCCTGCTAGTGAATGTGCTTAATAAACTATAAAGTCACACCAAGTCATTTTTCCTCTGACAGGTGTGTGATATTGAATAGAACTCTTTTTCCAAAGATCTTGCAAATGGGCTTTTGTGCTTTTCCTCCGCGTTTGTTCTTGAGTGTACTTTTCCTTTCTTATAAATTCTCTGTTTCTGTTTCTGACCATGTGTCCCTGGTGTGGCCCTTGGCCTTGGGATACAGAGTCTGGAATCAACTGTCATCTGAACTCAGATCTGTGACTCGGCACTGTTAAGTATGCTTCTCTGACATTCTGGGCTTTTGCACTGTTCTTCTGACCTCTGTGTCTAACTTAAAGGGCATGCATTTCCCCATATCTCCTTCTCCTGGCAGTTGCCAAGATTTTCAGCTTGCCTGTCCTTTTATTTGTCTCTCAAACTTTAATAAAACTGTCCTTGATCTTCAAAAAGATCTTGAAAATGGAACAGAAAGCTATCTTCTATTCATAATCTATTTCATCCCACTGAGCTAGATATGGACCATACTTCTTTTGTTGGCATTCCCATTTTAGGAATCTATCACACAGAAGCTCAGAGAACAGTTATTACCAGTTTACTAAGCCCCACTGTTCCATTTCTGTGAACACAGCCTATTCAGACATCTTTCCATCCTGAGGGCATTTGAGGCTACGTACAAGTTAATCACAAAACCTTCTGGAAATCAAATTTCCCTTGTTTGGGATGATTTCATTTTTCTCAGCCTTGAAATCCCCAAATCCCAAGTATATGAGTACTCAAACTCTGCTTCAGTACAGTTCCAAGTAGTTT